CTACATCACATTGATCCTTATTCTCTTCTTCATAATTATTACATCATTGGTCTTTATTTTTACTTTATTGTTTATCCATTTTACATAAATACAAATTTATTCTTTAGTTTAATATTTATTTTTCCTTATTTAATCTGAGAAACAGCACTGAGATCAGATCTCTTTTTACCTCAACCTCGATTTTTTAAAATAACATCCAACCATCCACGCATCCATCTATCATCTATCCATTCATCATCCATCCATTCATCCATCATCCATCCATCCATCCATCCATCCATCCTCCATCATCCATCCACCATCGATCCATCCATCCATCCATCATCCATTTATCATCCATCCATCCATCCATCCATCATCCAACCATTCATTCATTATCCATCCATCCATCATCTATCCATCCATCCATCCATCCATCCTCCATCATCCATCCACCATCGATCCATCCATCCATCCATCATCCATTTATCATCCATCCATCCATCCATCCATCATCCAACCATTCATTCATTATCCATCCATCCATCATCTATCCATCCATCCATTCATCCACCATCCATCATTCATCCATCCATTATCTATCCATCCATCCATGCAACCATCCATCCATCCATCATCCAACCATTCATCATCCATCATCCATCCATCCATCCATCATCCATCCATCCATCATCCATCCATCCATTCATAATCCATCCATCATCCATCCATCCATCCATCCATCCATTCATCCACCATCCATCCATCCACCATCGATCCATCCATCCATCATCCATCCATCCATCTATTCATCATCCATCAATCCATCCATCCATTCATCCACCATCCGTCATCCATCCATCATCTATCCATCCATCCATCATCCATCATCCATCCATCTATTCATCATTCATCCATCCATCCATCCATCATCCATGACTGTATGAATATATTTACACACATGCAGCACTTGGCAGCATATGCATTCACGTGGATTTTATTTTGAAATCAGAGGTTTCTAAAAGACAACAGAGATACTGTTTTAACTGTTTTTGGAGTCCATCTTCTGCCAATCATATTTAGGACAAACTCAGCCCACACAAGAAGAAACTCCCTCTGTGTACTGCAGAGAGTCCTACAGGCAGTAATTACACTTTTTTTTAAATCTAAATGTTGTTGTCTGCTTTGCCTCCATCAGTTAAATCCTCATTTTTAACAGGGCGGTCTTCTCCACCGATGCACCTGGCATTTTTTGTGTCATAATAAATGACACGCAGCAACACGCCTAGTTTTACCACAAACTATTTCATGTGAGCAGGTATTTAGTAATGATTTTCTGTGGTCTTTATAATTAGAGCATATAATGTGATGTCATTTTTAAACTATGTGAAATATTGCATTTAAAGTGTTTTGTTTATTTCTTCATTTGTTTTAATGAAAAGTAAATTTTAACTTAACATTTCTTTCAACCATTACTTGATGCATTGTTTGATAATAACAACAAATATTAAACTACTGTTTGTTGAATGTATGCAGAGTTTAAAGGACAAGTAGAAAACATAAAAAAGTCTGATCTGTTTCTGTTAAAGTGTATTTTCATAACTTATGACAACTGATTGTGCATTAAGTTGCCATATTCTACTTGACTGTCAAATTATTTAGAATCAAATAATAATACACTTACAATAAGTTTCCTTTTTTTTAACAGAAAATCAGTGATCAAAAAAGAATTGGAAGAATTAGGTTGATTATGTTTTAATTTTACTCAGATAGGAATTATACTATTGTCCCAAAAGAATTTTCTCAGCATATACAACATTGCTCTGTTTGTGCTGTTGTATATGCTGTTAAGTGCCAGGAGGA